CAATATTATCTTTAAACATACAATAATATTTAAATATTTTTGTTGAACTACGATGATTTTTCTTGTGAAATATTAGACATACAAAATGTTAATTCTTTACTGAGTTACACCTATCTACAAATTGGCTATCTAATAGCTAATATATTTGAATAATCTTGTATTTATTTTCATTAAATGCTTTTAATAGTACAATTATACTATATTTTAATATGTAGACACAATATATTTGGCACATAGCACTAAAAATACATTTCAGGTATCTTTATTTTGATGACTCATTATTGTCAATCTATAAAATATACATTACAAAATACAATGACACTTAGAGCATACTGACATCTATCTGACAACGTCGCTTGTCAGCGTTCTTGCAAACTTCTAAATTTGAGATTGATAAGTTAATCAAATTCTTAGATTTTACTTATGTTTCCATAACAAATTAACAGTTCCAACACTAATAGATACCGGTACAACAATACCGGGTAAAGATAATATAAAGTAAGGCCGGGTTCCACCCACGCAGATCTCCAAAAACCAGAGTTTACATTCATATAAAAATAGACAGTCCTCAGTTAATTTGGACTGCCATGAAAAATTGTTGTGTTGTGGTGGTATCTTAATAGAAGGCAAAATAAAAGAAAAATTGTAACCCTATTTTAGGAAAGATTTTATTGAATTTAAAATTAATTGAATTAGAAGAGAGAATCAAAGTTCTTAATTATTTTCAAGAAGCAACCACTTTAGATTTACTGGGACACTAACATAAGAGTAGAGATACAAGTTTAGAGAATGTATTTCCCAGAACAAAGATTAGCATATGTTAAGGTAAGTTTATTTTATCACTAGATTGCGTAATAATAGTTTTGACAAGTACCTACTTAAGACTGTATGAATGAATGAATGTTTGCTATGTATGTTTGTTTTCATGAATGTGAATATATATAATGTGTGTGTGGGGAGGGTGTATGTATTTGATAATCATTATGAATTAAAAATGCAAACAATTATTTAAGTATTTATTTGTACTCAAACTTAAATCCTTCAAAATCTAAGTAATCTGAGTCTTGGGAATGTATGGAAGACTAGATGCTGATGGCGAAGCTGGAATCGGGATTCGATGTCTGAGATGAAGTTGATGGTATAGATGTTGTTGCCTGTTGATTGCTACTATTATATTGCGTAGAGTAATCAGGGTAGTGTTGATCTTGCGTAGGGTATTGGCTGTTGATTGACGCTATTATGTGTGTAGTTCAGAATACTGATCTGGTCCGGTTATCTGATTATATGAATCACGCCAATGTCCGTAATTTGGTCTCTCATAATTCCTACTTTTAATTTTTTGCAACATTGTCATGACGCTAGCTTGAAATTCTAAAGTCTCTCGTGTTAAAGTGTTCAAGATTGGTATAATGCCTTTGAAGAAAGATAGATGATGGTTTTCCTTTTCTGGGTTTATTCTGGAGTCCAAAACTTTACCATCCTGTCATTTACCTCTTTTTTATCAATTTTTTTTTATCTTTAATTAAAGGTGAACGAAAATCTGATTCCATGCCTACTTCAGTCTCGGTTCTTCTTTTTTGAAACTGACTCATTGGTGGTGAGGTTCGAGATTTTCAAAACATTAATTGCTGTGATATAAATAATTCTGTTTTAAGATCCAGATTTAGATCATTTTTGTTTTTTACTGTCTTAAGCAAATCTGTATATTATTCCATTTGTTGAAACCTGTTTTCCTGAAATCAATAAAAAAATTATAAAACAATACAATTTGTTTCTTGTGACGTATAAAGTAATAATGTATTAACAAAAAATACTTTTTTTTTTTCAGAGGATGTTCATTAAAAAATAATTATAAAGAGTAGGCGTTTCGACAATAAGTAAATAATAAAAGAAATGACCACGTCATTTGGGAAAACCTAAAGACAGATTTCCTTAAGCTGCCTGATATGAGAGAAGAGGACATCGCTTCAGATTCGAAAGAAGCAACTTTCCTCACTGTTGGAGCAGTAGATGGCAAACATATCAGAATTTTGAAACCAGCCAAGAGTGGTTTATGTTCTTTAATTACAAGGAGTATTATTCTTTTGTATTAATGGCAGTTGTCGATTCAGAGTACGATTTATTTTTATTAGTGTGGGCTCATTTGGAAGGAATGCGATTCTAGTATATTAAAGGATAGTACATTTTGGCAAAAGATCAATGATGGTACTTTAAATGTACCAAAGCCTAGACCGCTTCATGAAAACTTGCACGAAGAATTACCGTTTATACTTGTTGGGATGAAGGCTTTAAATAATCTACCTACCACGTCCATATGGAGGTACACATTTGAATACTGATAAAAAGATTTTTAACTATAGACTAAGTCGAGCAAGAAGGTATGTTGAGTGCGCTTTTGGTATTCTGGCAAATAAGTGGCGAATAATCCATCGAGCTATAGATCTCAACGTAGACAAGCAATTAAGTAATTAAAGCTTGTGCAGTCTTACATAATTTTGTAAGAGAAAAAGATGGTATAAATTTTGAAAGTTACCAAAATATAGAACATAGACAAGAACAAGAAACTACACCCATGAATCGAAATGTGTCGAGTCGAGGTGGCCTAATGCCAACCTATACGGACATCATTTACTAATTATTTTGTTTCAGATATTGGTTCCGTTCCGTGGCAGGCAGCAGCTATAAAATAAAATTTATCAATGCATTTACATTTTATCAATAAAACTTTAAAAACTCACCGTACTGTTTTCTTTCTTTTTCATCCAGTTCATCGAAGTTTGGTTTCAGTATTAAACATACTTCACGCCATGCTGCTAACTTTAAGTTTTTGTTTCTTTATAAACGTCTTCGGTCTTATCCCACAGAACAGGTCTCTCTTGGACAAGGTAATTAAAGTTTCTGCTTGAATATCCATGCTAAACGTCTACTTTTACCAGAACATGCGAGCCGAATGACGTGAGTGGAACACGGGCGGGGCGGGGGAGGGGACGAGCAGGGCGAGCGGGGACAGATACCGGCACAAACTCGTTCACATTACTCCGGGCCCGGTGTTTACCGGCAATTCGTAGTGACAAAACGTTCGGTAGAAATGCCGGGCTCGCAAAAATGCCGGACCCGGGATAATGTGAATAGCTTCATATAAATTGTACAGCCCACCCAGCTCTTCCGGCAGATTTACCGGCGCGGCAGATCTGCCGGTCCGGCGTAGGGGGAACCCGGCCCTAATTATCGTCTACATTACCGCGCGGTACCGCGCGCCCCAACGCGCGGCGCGCTCCCACCCGCGCGCCCGCACCAGATCTTGTCCCGCCGCGCTTCCACGCGCGCGCGGGGGGCAGCCCGGGGGCCGCGCCCCCGTCAAGCGTGTATCGACCTGTTCAGTTGATCCGCGCGGCTTGAGACGGAAAGACACATAGATCGATGTAAAATTAGTACCGTAGATATGGTATTAAGTATTTGGTGCATTGGTTGGGTATAGCATCTTCACTGGATTTTAAATCATTTTCAATAGAATCGTATAAAAAATCAAAGGATGCAACTGACATCCGGAAATAGTTAAAAAAATTATCTTTGTGTAACCTCAAGTCGGGATACAAAGTGACAAACAGGCTGGAAAGAAGTCTGTCACTTAAAATTGGATGCACCCAGTATCGTCTTTGTTTCTTCTCGACGTCTCAGTCTTCTATATAAAATTCATAAGCAAATTGCCTCCTCCACGTCCATTGTCAATCAATGTTGAAGCCACACTGCCGCGCGTACATATACCGTCATGTGAATGCTCCAACCGCGCGGCGACGCGCGGCTACGCCGGTCATCTGAACTTAGCCTAAATTTCCTACCATACGATACAAATTGACTATTTTTAAGGACGTACAAAAATCTAATTCCAACCGAATACCAAGTATGCAATATAAAGGGCCTCATATCCTTGCGGTCTTATTAAGTGGCAGCTAGGTGAGGGGTACCGGGTTCGATTCCCGGTTCGAGGGCAAGTTTTAATTTAATTTAAATTTTTCTCGGCCTGTGGGTATTTTATATGCATATTCAGTAGGTTGTGCGGTACCGGGCGAGTGCTTAAACCGTACATGGAGGGCACGGTCGAATTTCTAAGGCAAGCAGTGAGAAAAGAAAGGAGACTGTGAAGGTTTAGAACGTAGCAATACGTTCTAGGCCGAGGATGGCAAAATTACAAGTGCGAATTATAAAAATCCTATACTTGACGCTGGCTATCCACAAACCGTGCCAGAGCCATAAAAAAAAAGTATGCAGTAAGTTTGATTTCTTAATATTTAATTGTCCGGTATGCATATTGACTTTGAGTTTCTCTTTTATGCGAAATCATTCGATAATCTATGGTTACGTGACTCTTTTGTTTCTGTCAAGGACTTTTGTTTCACTGTGCGAAATTTTCTACTTCCATTATCTCTTTGATTCCAATAACAAAAATAATAACTTTATTAGTCTGATTTCATAATAAATCATTAATACTTAACAATGGACAGCAGCTTTATATAATCGTCGCAAATGTCTACTCGTATGTATAGAGTTATCAAGTAATTTCACAACAAAAACTTCGAACAGAATCAATTCTTTGGGATAATTAGCCAATAATATTTTGACAAATATAAGTTAAATCTATCTTATAATTAAGTATGAAATTTATCTAAAAACATCAAAAATACTACGCAACATCGTACATTCCTTATAAATAACTATATATTTCTTGTATAACAAGAAACATATATACCGTACAAAATTTGGTTTGCCTTTGGTTCCCGAATCGGCTAACGTTTAACCATGGTTGATTCCATACTGTGCTGTAACAATTTTTATTCCTTTAGAAGGAAACATTGCATACAGCCGGTTCGGATCCCAGGAACAACGAATTCCGTCAAATTTAATAATATAATAAACTCCTAGACATCCAAAGCGATATGAACCGTGTCTACCTAAAGGTAGTCAAAGTTGTTCTAACGCATTCGCTGCGCAGGCGGCGTCGGTCAAGGCGCAGCCGCTGCAAGGGCAGGCCGCGTGGGTGTGGGAACTCGTGGGCAGGCTACTACTGACCCACGGGTTGTCTGGTTGTTATTATTTTGACCGCCTGTAAGAATTAAAATGTATTATTAATAAAAAATAACGGCGTTCTTGTCTTGTGTGGTTAATTCATGGCGTATAATCACAGGTTTGGTTTTACTGCACTATCTGCTTTAAAAATAAATGACACAGCCTTTAAAATAAGAATTATGCTGTGGGAAGTGTAACTATAATATATTATTATATAGTTCTTGTCCATAAAAATATTCTTTTTTATAAAATTTGATACAAGGTTAAAGGCTAGATATGGTGGATATAAAAAACCTCCATGCCCACATGAATTACACTATAACATTAGCGGTAAAATTTAATTTGCTATATTTAGTTTTTTTCCAACAGACTTTTGCTAGTGAAATATAATAAAGTTTGAATTTATTATGAGACGTAGTTTACAAGGCCTTATATTTATTAAAAGACAAATTACCTATTAAAGAGCCAAGCATCTTTGTGACGGAGAACTTTCTCGAGCGCTGCGGGGTTCGCACTTCAGCTAACAGTTTGTCCATACACCGATAGAGGTCGCCAGTATTATCGGCGACACTTGCTTCGCTGAAGGATGCTCCGTGCGCTGCACTGACTGACTGGCCATCTTTTGTTGGTACCTGTAATAATATATATGACTTACAACACTATACGATTTGTGGAAAAAAGTAAAGATTATTATATAGTAGTAGTATAGTATTAAGTATAGTACTCAGCCATATCTAAGGCGGTTAATAAATATTAAAAAAATATATGTAAGCACAACCACGGATTTAATTATTTAAATCCGTTAAATTTTGTCGTAGTATCGCTTTACGCATATGAAGAATCTATCTATCTAGCTACAGCTATCTCATAGCTTGTGTTGCATGCATAATACATGTTTTTATATTCCATAGATTTACAATTTGCGTATATTCTAGAAAAGTACAATGTGGATTAACATTGTATTGAATGCGTAATACCGAGAAACTAACAGGATGAATAAAATCCTTTAGACGGGCTGACTCATTCAACAACGGAATTAGATATAGTTTATGGCGCTTGTGTTAACTGGCTCGTAGTTATGACTTGCAAATAATCGAAGCGTTCGAAAAACAATTATTAAGATAACACCTGTGTCATATCAGTACTATTCGATTAATTTATAAGCCTACGTAATATAATCTATATGTGGCAAAGAGAAGTAACAAAAGAACGGCGTGATATGGCGTATCGTAATTTGAGTATTTATGATAATTTTAATAAAAGTTGTCGATCGATGTAAATGGACGGCTTCAACGATAAAAACAATTTCTTTCAGACAACCCAGACGAAAATATGTGATTGACTGAAAGAGATCGCTCGAAATCGATAAGGCCGCCAGTTGCCCTCCTTTTTATTTAATTATGTCAATTGAAATGAAATGAAATGAAATAGTTTATTCTTCCAAGTGGAGATTATAAAAATCCCTTCTATTTCTTCCCCCCCCACAAGAAAGAAAATTGCAAATTTCCCCCCCCCCCCCCCCCCACAAAAGAAAAAAAACCCCCCGGGGGGGGGTTTTTTTTTTTTTTTAAAAAAAAAAAAAAAAAAAAAAAAAAAAAAAAAAAGAAAAAAAAAAAAGGGGGGTTTTTGGGGGGGGGGGGGGGGGGAAAAGACCCGGCCCGGCGGCGCCCGCCCCCCCCGCGGGCCCCCCCCCCCCCCCCCCCCCCCCCCCCCCCCCCCCGGGGGGGGGGGGGGCCCCCCCCCCCCCCCCCCCCCCCCCCGGGGCCCCCAAAAAAAAAGGGGGGGGCCCCCCCCCGCCCCCCCCCCCCCAATTGTATTATATTTCTGTACATGCAACGAAGTGTTAATAAATAAATAAGCTAATGGAAACGTAAATATCAGCCCTATATGCCTAAGGAATTTTCTGGGGTTAAGACATTGTTACCGGGCAATACCTACATTTATGTGTTAATTGCGCATATAGTAAGAAATTCATTGATGCAAAGGCGTGATTCGAATGCACGACCTCAGAGTTGAGAGTCAAGTGCGTAATAAACTATGCATCTGCTTTCAGTGGCAAGTTAGAAACGTTTTTACGTTAAAAAAACCTAAACAACAAGCTACTCGATGTCTAAAGTTCAATTTACCGTTAAGTAATTTATTGATTAGTAAGGTGGGTGTTGTTCCCCTTCCTACCGAAATACAGTTTTGTAAGCCAGTACGAAAAAATGACCGTCACCTTTTTCATGTTTGTATTGTATATATAATTTAAAATTAGTTAATTACTCTAATAACAACAACTAATCATTGGAAACAATATATTTATTTACAAATCAATAACACACTCTACACTGGCAACACTGTAATTAAGCTAAAAATAAATATCAATGCCCACAAAGGTCATTGTACACACTCAAAAAAGTTTCACAGTACATGTTGACAATTCGTGTTATGGTTGTGTTGTAACATATTGTTCGAGTCCTTCTCCTAACGAAGGCTTTACAAGAACGTTGTTCACAAGGGTCTTGCGAACAATAATGATGTAGTTCTTAAAGTAAGATATTTCCATGTTTTGGTATGGTTCAAAATTGTTCATTCCATACAAAATATATCATCTATTCCTGGCCCTAATTTTGGTAATTTAAACGTAAGTGTAATTTTTATGAACAATAAAACTACCACCAAATTATGTACCGCCATCTTTGAATATAACTGTTACTATAACAATGAATTATTCGTAATAAACCGTGACTTCCATATGTTTTTTTATTACGCAGATTTGTGTTTCTTTTCATATTGGGCTTGAAATTGTATCTTTATATTTAATTAAAAAATTGTATACCTGTCTTAAATGATCCAAGTCCGTCTTGTTTCCTAATAACGCCAAGGGCATCCCGGATGTGGCAGGGTTATGGGCTGGACTGCTATTCTGTGGTTTCTTCAAAATATTTAATACTTCGGTGGCATATTCAAAACTTGTTCTATCTGTCACGGAATATACCAGGAGACACGCGTCGGCCCATTGAATCTGCAAACAATATATTTTCTAATTACGTCGTCGTTTAAGTCATTATTAAAACTAGCTCTGTCCAGCAGTTCAGCAGGTTACTGTTGATCAATTTAAAAACAGTTTGTCAAGAAAAAAAATTATTCTGGATAGGTAGTATGGCCTCGGTATGAAATATACTGTCCGACCTACATAGGTCCTACCAAACCTACCAAATACTAAATATGCATAAACATTTAGATATTTCTGTTAATAAGTAATTCTTAAACTTCGGACTTAAACTAGACATCTTTATATCTATAAAATATATTGGGTTATCACATATATATGTAATATATGCTACCTACTCGTAAATGACAAAATCCTTTTTGTATGTTTCTTACGTAGGGGTAAGTAGGTATTCATTATAAATAAAAATAAAAACAGTCTTGAATACACAAATATATAATATATAGGTTTATATATAAAATATACAAAAAATCTAAATAATTAAAAAAAAAATACGAACCATTTATTACATAATTATACGAATGTGTATTATGCATGTTTTCAATTATTTTAAATATAGGCTTTTATATAATAAGTATCGAAAATTAACAAATATAACATTATAACTATTGACCGCGTTTATTTAATGACCTAATAATTAATTTAAAATAAATCATCTAAATTTTAGGACGAGTAAATCATGAAAACCTAATTGTGAGCCAAATTTACGAGCAAAAAAGTTCACAGACATTTATGATTAATTAAGTCTCGTAGCCAACATTCCTGTGCAAAATTAGAATACATTCAGTATGGCATCGTTGCTTATTTCTGAAAAGTTTGCGAATAAGCGTAGCTTCCAGTATCATTCATTTGTGTATAAAATATATTAATTAATTAAGTAGCAGTACAACACTATATGGCTTTTGGCTGATTGCATCCACTTCTCTGATCATTTTTATTTTTTATAGACAACTAGGTGATCGGCGTTCTGGTACATTAAGATTTTTTTGTATTGGGATATGCCGGTTTCCTCACGACGTTTGCCTTCAACGTGGAAGTATTAATAGCGGACATATTAAGACATCGGAATGATTCCTAACACTGCTTTTAATTTGCATTGTAGATAATTTTATTCATATAAATGCAATTTGATAAGGCTGAACTTAGTGTCACGCCGACCGCTCGCGCACCGCCGGCGCTGATGGTCGAGATATATGAACTTCTAGAAAGCGTTTTTAAATGACGCGTAGCTATAAGCGCGCACGGTGGTCAGCGCGCGTTGGCGCCGCGTAGCTGTCAGCGCTGACGATCGCTAGAGCGCCTCTGCTTTCAGAGAGCGTTGTAGTATCGAACGGAGCGGATGTCGTCAGCGTGTACAGTCATGGCAAATCGCGAAGTGGATACTGGTCGAGTTATCGACGAGGTACGCCTGAGGAAGAAATTGTGGGATGCATCCGATCCACTCTACAAAAATATCTTGACATTCGAAAGTAATTATTGAATTTACTTTCGTCAGCCCTCAAAGTGCGATATAATCAGACAAAGTCTCAATCAATAGATGAACAAGGAGTCTTCGTCGTCGCCGGTTTTTATTTTTTTGAGATTGGTAGTACAAAGCAGCAATAACTAATACACTCCGCATTTTGGTCTTCGTCTGTACAGTAAGGCGGTCAGTAGTCAGTACGATACTAAAACGAACCACGCTGAGCGTCAGCGCTGACGAACTACGCGCTGATCTATGAGCGCTGACGGTGAGCGTGAGACTAAATTCAGCCTAAACCACAAAACAGCGAGAATATTTAAAAACTATGGAAGTGGAACTATGGAACTAACTACTTATTATATCCCGAAGGCTGCAACTCGCTTATGTAACATTATTGCAAGACAACTCAAAGCCTTTATTCCATACTATGTTTTTTTGTTTTTGTTTTTGACGTAAGTTATTGTTCTCTGTTCGACCGTATGGATTGTTTATGTTGTGGTGATTATATACAATAAACAGGTACTGCGCTACAAATACGGAAATTTAATAAGATGTGTATGAGCTGTTCAACCGTTAATTTTTATAATCTATGGTAAGGAGCTTAGAAAATAAATATAATATAGGTTACATTTATTGATTTGAAGTTTGATTCAAATTAATTGAATTGTCTGTGCACAAAACTATATTACAAATCGAAAAAAAATTTATGTTATTAAGGAATAAATTCAAAAACTACAGATGTAAAAAAATTACAATGGGCGTGTTCGGCCGAAGTAAGTACCTTACTATAATCTGTAAGCCAGTAAGCATAAAAATTTATCAGCGACTGTGCGCTTTCGGAGACTTACTGACTTATTAACATAACACAAAACCCCGGTTTTTGTCAATTCCCGGAACATAACCAGAGACTGAATATAAGACAGTACTAAATTTAAGAATAATTTAATACCTGTGAATAGTTTCAAATGGATAATTTTGAGAAATATTTTATTGGATATTTTATTGTCCGTTTTGTTTACGGGGATCAACAATAAGCAAAATGGCGTCGTAACCGGTAATTAAGCCATACACTGCGTTAGCACTTATTTTGTGTCCCGGCGAAAATTTTGAAACAATCACCCCCCCCCCCCCCCCCCCCCCCCCTTCCCTCCCCTCCCCCCCCCCCCCACTGAGACATGCCATCTGAATAAATAGATAGAGTATAGATTCAGCGATTGGCGTTTTCAATAAATTTTGATTCACCATTAGCTAAATTCATGTTAATACAAACCAGATGTTTAACATTTTAATGCGATGAACGTTCAGTGACTCCAAATTATATTATTTATTATGATTGTAATTTGACTAATCGCCGAGTTTTCTTTTGTGTCGTAATATATTAAATATAGGAACGGCTGCGCCAGAAGAAATACAAGAGTACTACATGTGTATGATTGCAAAATACCTCATGTTCACGAAAGATTTAAATGATTTTATGACGTCTAATCTTGCGCCTTTTCACAATATTCCAATATTTTGTCGTGTTTCTTTAGTTGTAATGTACAAATGTAATAGCGATACGGTTTTAAGTAGTTTTTTTTGTAATAATGAACAAGGGGTTTGCATATGTAATTTTTACGTTTATTTTGAAATTATAATTGATCAAGCGAAGACATAACAGACCGCCTACGCGAGCTTCCCTACACTATCAATTGTTACAACACCCTTGAAGTCTCTTTTGTCTCTGGAAAATGGACTTTCCGCCTCAGGCTTTCACATTGTTGAACATTTCCTAACTGGATTGTTTGCTAAAAATTATAAACTCTTTCTGTAACTCATAAATAGTATAGGTAGATATATTTCTTCATCAGAATCTGGGCGTATTACATTACGAAACAGTAATTGTTTCGTAATAAATATCGAACGCAGGACTTGTATAATTATATTGACCCGGAGATGTTGTACACATGGGTCAGAACAAAGTACTATTTTTTAGTATTGGGTCACAAGTATGTACTTGCCTTTGTATTCTAAATAAACATCGCAGTAACAAAAAACACGCAAAGAAAGATTAACGATACTAAAGGTGCTATCATTCTTAAGCGCCAAAAGTTTTATGGTCAAAACTTCGTATGTCGACACGACCATTTGGCAGACGAGGTGAGCTACAATTAATATTACATGTAAACAGTGAGTCATACGCAGGTCACTGGAGCGCCTAGATTATATTCGCGACGATTAACCTATTTACCAGAACATTTGATACACTTTGATTTTGTTTGCGGAAGGGTCTATTTGATGTTGTCCAGACCTGGAGAAAGCTGAAAGAATTCGGACATTCAATTCGGTCGACTGTGAATTATTAGGACATGATAATAAATTGGGTAATAAACGATTAAATAATATCAAGCTTAATCAATAACATAAGCGTTATGAGGTTTAATTGCTTTTTTATCTTATTTCAACGTAATGGGAACTAACAAGTGTACAGATATCTAAGAATATTTTGTCTTGGTTTTTAAAATAATGGAGCAGTGTTGGCCTAGTTGCTTCAGCGTGCGACTCTCATCCCTGAGGTCGTAGGTTCGATCCCCGGCTGTGCACCAATGGACTTTCTTTCTATGTGCGCATTTAACACTTGCTCGTACGGTGAAGGAAAACATCGTGAGGAAACCGACATGTCTTAGACCCAAAAAGTCGAGGAGTCTGGAGGCTGATCACCTACTTGCCTATTAGATTTAAAAGTTCTTGAAACTGATTCAGAAATATTAGGCCCAGACCTAAAGAAGTTGTAGCGCGATTGATTTTTTTTAAAGTAATGGGGAATGTATGCAATATTTTTCGTGGATTTCAATAGTTTATCTTCTGTTATTTTCTTTATTTATTCACAAAAATACAGACACTATTGCCAATACGATATCGCTACTGTGAACTCTGCGAACATATAATGATGTCGATATTAGATCGACTTGGTAAAAAATCCATTATGTTTCAAGGAAATGCAGACTAGAAGCAGCTCTTTGACTGTTTGTTTATTTTTCATACTAACGACAATCATCCGATATAAAAAAGTAATATCCTTACTTAAAAAAGAAGTCGGCCGCGTTTCTCTGTCTGTATATACGCGATAAACTCAAAAAGTACCTAAAGGATTTTTGTACAGTTCTCACCAATGCCAATGGTGTGATTTTTGGAAGGTGCCGTTTATTGTTGCAGATATCGCAATTAGTAAAATACACAACATCCACGCGGCCAAGAACGTAGTGACGAATATTGTTAAATAAAATACTTGTACTTTCTACTTTCGTTCTATTTAGGCTTGACCTATCCAGTTCGAATACATTTTTAAAAGTTTAGTTACGGTTATAGCTAATCGTGAAGGGTAACGTTAACAAGATAATAAATGTAACCTCGATTTGTTAATGTCGTTATTTTTGAAGCAACATCCTTAATCTTTCAGTGATTTATAAAGTGAGCTGTTTAGAGACAAAGGTCGTTTCGTTTTTAACGCGAAGGTAACTATACGATAAACTAACATAATTTAGTATAATTTTTGTTTAGCGGATGCTTAGAGTTCAAACATTCTTCCGATTAATCTTCAGAAGTGGTACAATTTAAAAATGGAATACGCGTTTCATATATAACCTGACACAAGTGCCGATTGTTTATGGCACCGACGCAACATAATCATGAATTGATAAGAAAATTTATCACCATTTTCTTATCATAGCTTTTAACCTTATTCCACGCAATGTGACAGGATAAAAAGTGTTTACCTGTTCTGTGGGAAATTTGTCCAAATTTGATCCAGAGACATCTATTACTTCTAGTTCTATTGGAGTTCCATTAATCGGCACTGTTTGTCTGTAGAGCAGGTCTGTAAAATATTATACTGTTATTTATGGTGTTTAAAATACAAATTGATAAATGCCTCATATCCGAGTGGTTAACGCCATTGCGTTCATTAACTAGAGCATCGTTTCTGAAGCGGGGGGGTTGCAACCCTTGGGGGGTTTAAAGGGGGTCGCAGCCTGTTGAAAAATAATAAATACGATACATAATATAGGTAAGAATGATTCGTTAAAAATAGCGCGCTATGTACATATTATCATAATAATACAGTGAAGGGGTCACAAGACTGTTTTACTTAACTTATGGCTTTTTCGTGGGTCATGGTATTAAAATGGTTGAGAAACGATGTACTAGAACAATAAACCTACTTAATAACACAACTTGTTTAGAAGCAAAATAATACAGCCGGCAGATTGCGGACCATAAAAAATGCTGTATTAATCAAAATTATCTTGAAATACCGCTCCATGCTCTTATGGGGACTGAATTGTTATATTCAACAATAAAACATTATAATTATATTAAATAGTAGCAGCCCGTATTAGATATTGATATGTTCTTTAATATTGTGGAACATATTGTTGTTCTATCAACAATAGTTTTCGCAGCGCATGCGATAAAAATATTTTATAGGCATTTTTTTACACATTGGGTAACATTAATGTAGTTTTGGTAGGGTTACTTATTTTTTTCTTTCACTTAAAATAGCATATATGAATCATTGATAATGTAGCATTCAAATGGTGAAAGACTTTTTACAATCGGTCCAGTACTTTTTGAGCCTATTCGTAAACAGACTTACCTACATACAAATCTTTCCCCCAAAGAATAGGTTTCGGTATTGCAGTACAGAGACATTAACAAAGAAATAGTACATACCTGTATTTGAATGATATTCTCCTATGTATCTTCGTGTTAAGTACCGCACTATGAGTGCTGTAACAAGAAAACATATTAAGTGAGATCAAAGAAAGAAAAACATAGTATTTAGGTGACCGCGTTAGTATCTTTGGGTAACAATTTTAAGTGGTAGAAGTGTTATCTAAGAAAACATTGGATTACATCACAGATAGGTCAGTAGAATGATGCGTTGTTTATGTAATCTTGCCCGAATTTTATTAGACATTTCGCATTATGTAATTGAATTTCTAACCTCGGCCTGAAAAATGTTATACGTATGTATCGTTAGAGTTTAATTACCGTAATATTCCGAGACGTTACAATAATATTTGTGCATGCTCTGTTCAATAAGACTTGAAATGTCGCATATTGATTTTAGGTAAAAATCATGTTACTTGGGGCCAGTGGTAGCCTAAATCCAAAATGGCGACCAATCTCGACCCCTACGTCGCCATCTTGATTTTTGGTTAATAACTCAGACATTTTAAAATTTGCGTACACCTACGTTTCTGATTTTAAGCGCAACTTTGAAATGAAAGGATAAACATTTTCAAATGGCATTTGTAAGTTATTCTAAGTTTAAATGTTAAATTAATACTGGTTTAAGAAATTCATAAAGTCTAGATGCTTTTACATATTACGAAATTTAAAATTTAGTCTACATATTTAATTATGATATACTGCCCCAAGAATTTAGGTTAGCATTACATTTATATTTTTTTAGTTGAAGACGTGTCAAAACTTATGAATTTATGTTAATAAGTGATGATATATTTTAAGATTTATATTGTTATTGTTTTTTTATGAATATGATATCGTGCGTGTTATTCTGATCTATTTAATAAAAATACTTGAAAATTTAAAGACTCTATCATATGTGGGTCATATTATGAGTTACGAGTATCGAGAGTCGAGACTGAGTGCTAAATATGACTCTTGTATTGATTTTGTCATAGCTTAGCTCGTAGGGCGCACTAAAATCAGTGGTTTTTAGTGTATTTATATAGAAATAGGTATGTAAATATACACGCTAAAATACCATAATATAGTGTGTAAAAATATTGGATGTATTTCGAACCCAATACCTAGAATCACTGCATGTAATTTGAATGTAAGATAAATTTAAAAATTCAGTGTACTTACCAGATTTACCAACTCTGGAGCTACCAATTACTGCGATGCGCACGCGAGATGGACTGGAGCGTTCGTCTCTCATGGCTACGACCAGCTGTAACAAAAAATGCCGCCATTAGTATTTTGATATTGACAATTTGTAAATTTTTGACATTGACAGCTCATATTAGCCCGGAGCTTAGCAAATATCCATGTAAGAGGTTAAATGTGCATTGGTGTAATAGTATAGAAATAATTGGAATGGAATAATATGGAATTTAGTATCTACATTTTTCCATATTTTATTATTCAAGAATCCCACAATCTGTCGGGATAAATATAACGCAATAATCGAGCTACAGAACAAATTATTACTCTCACAGCGTACGTATTTTGTCTAAATATTATTTAATACGTTTTTAGGAAGCTTGTGTTTCGGCCAAATCATCGTCTCACGTCACGTATTACGTTCAAAACTCGTACATATTCCAAGTTATTGTAACGTTGTTACAACGGGTTATAGCGCGGTAGTGTTCTCATTGTAAATTAAATATAAATATCTGTGAATGATTATTATTTATTTACAGTAAGGAGCTTCAATCTTAATTAATAAAAATGGTCTTCTTAATTTCTAAAAATCAATTCAAAGCCACGTTATTTTTGTTAAATTAAGTTTACGCTATGAAAATATTTTAGTTAAAATAGGTCTTAAATGATATATGAAGTTTTCAAATTTTATAAATATCTTATGCATTCAGAGAATTACCAATAAAGATCAGATTATACAGAGTATTAAAAGCGATTATAGTTTTATCGCCGATGTGACACGTTAAAAAACTGTAATTAGAAGTCTATTATATATTTAGAAGTCCTATATTAATTAAAAGTCGTCAAACAGATAAAAAATGACTTCATACTGTTCCATTTCCAAAACTTATTACAAAATTAGGTTTGCAGACCCATTTTAGAATATCTTTTGTCGCGCCCATTAACACATGGCAATCGGACTATTCATTATCTTGAGTGTTGTCCAAACTTTAAAGCGAATTCTTGCATAATACTAGTGAGTGCATTGACGTTATAACACAAATGTGCGTCAAGGATTAACCTTACCTCACTTCAAAAATGATTAGAAAAATCTGGTTCTCGTACCACGCAATCCCAACGGCAGCGCTAGATATGAAAGAACTCTATCGAATTGGCTTCGTTAGACACTATTAGGAACCCAATGTGAGCTAATTGTTAACTAACTCGACACAGAAACGATCAATCATTTAATTTGAAGTCACATTTCAATATGAATCTTGGTATATTTGATTAGAAGATATAAATATAATCGGCGTCTTTTGAAAATGGATTATGTCGGTTACCACGTAGACGTAACCATGGTAACATTTGTAGTAATTTATGACAGTGATTCATAACTGTAGACCACTACAAAGATTTATCTACGCGAAAATCTCATTCTTATTATGCCACATATTTTTAGAGAAAAATTTGAAGGTTGCGTCAGCGTATTCCGTGTGGTTGAATAACCTAAGATTTGACATTTACAAAACATAGAATAACCTTCTATTTATTGTATTGTCAGGGTTAAGATGGTGAATGACATAAGACAATAGTATTGACATTCCAGTGTTTAAAAATAGACTCGCTGGCTGTTATGTTATAATTATGACATCTGTAGCGATTTTCTTTCTTATTTGTGTAATAAGAAATAGCGTGTTTTTTTACAAAATAGGTATTATTGACGATGTTACCGATAACTGCGGCTGTTAGGATATATTCTTCTATAGATATATTAATTGCCACATACATAAACGATTCACAGAAAATCTTAAGGTACATTTGCTAAAATAAAGTGCCTAGGCTAGGCTAAAGCTATGGAACGGATTTTTGTAGTTTTCACGAAATCCACGCGAAGCTGCAGAGTGGTATTTTATAAAACAAATGAAAAGAATTTTCAAGAAAATATAAGAATTTTCCAAGTGAGGACGCTGGAGTCTCACTTTTTTATATTCCAACATAATTCGTACTAATAAATAAAATATTCAAAATATTCAATATTTCCCAAAAAATTTGAAAAAATATTAAGATTTTTTATTAGTAAACATGATATTTTAATTTATATGAGAGATCATCGGAAACAATAAAATATAGAAACTGCGACGCAAAACGAGAGAACTGCTGAAAAAAAAAAGAATTTATTTATGCTTGGCGCCACACAATAATAGTCCTGTCGCCGAAAAAATTGTGGTGTTGCCAAAAATGTGACGTTTAATCAGTATAATATTACGATTCACTTTAAACGTTTTGTTTCCGAATTCCCAATCAAATCGATTCGTATAAGAGTTCTCTGCTCGTTCTGGAGGAATCAAATTATTATCCGTCCCTGTGCAACTAGTAACTAGATTATAATTATTGACTTATGTAGCATTGTTTCCTTAAAATGGCGTTTTAACTAAAGCTCTGATCGGGGCCCTTTCTCTGTAACTTTCAATAGCGATTCCGACCGGACCGATATCCACATCGACCTGATTTTCGTAACATAGCGTTATGTTGCAACATGAACTCTCGGAATAACAACTCGCTCAAGATCGTTGACGGTATTGTAGTGGAAGTTACAGAGTAAGGACCCTGATTTGATGAGAGACGAAGGCAGTTAAAATAATGTAATAAAACTTGTAATATTTATAAATAAAAAATAAAAATGTATATTCAAGCATTACAATGTGTAAGATTTGAAACCCTTTCAGGTTTTCCAGCTCTTATTTAAATTATTTTTTTAAAACTATTTACAACAAATTTAAACAGGTTAACGCTAAAAACGCGTACTAATTAGGTACTACCTACTTCATTATTCTACTGGCTTCTACTATTCTACTTATAATTTGTTTTATAGTAGAAATAACTTTCGTTATACAAATATTAATAAATGTACGCAGGTGCAAAACGTACTTAGTGGTGTCGAGAAGACTCATTGTGTGTTGCGGGTCTTAATACTAAAAACAAAGGAAAAGGTCAGGATTACGTAGGCAGAAATTGCAAAATGTATGTTCCACAATATATTAGGGCCGCAGAATTGGTAAGCGTGGGTGAGATTCAGAACGAACATATGTGGGTGATGCACAAACATTGAACTTCAAAATACGACTAATGACGCAGATTCTTAGGAAGTATCAATCATTGTTATGATTTCTATCTACCCTGTTTGTTGAAGTTCCATTTTAGTTCGGTTCTACATTTCAACGGACACGACAAGATAGAGTAGTGCCAAAGCTAAAAGCTATTTTAGAAAAGCTCGCAAAACTTTTACACTACACGGGACTTCTAAGTTTTTAAATAGATGTAACATTATATGCGATACGATATTGTGAGGCATATCAATCCTATGAAACCTCAGGCACAGAAGGCTGTTTCTAAAATTGAAAATGATCAAATATATCCAATATAAAACTAAGACCCATATAGCAACACTATTATTATATAGTTTCAAATACAACACCAACCCATAACCTGGTCAATATTGTTAGCCACCATTAAAGGCTCGAATCGTTATATTTACATTACATTAACTGATCAAAGCTTTCTCGGAAACAATATCGTGGAAGGTCAGGCAATAAATCCTATCGTTAGTCATTTTCCCATGTCCTCAAGGATCTCTTCAAGGACTGCGGATATTCGACACTGTTTCAGAACGAAGGTCGAGTCCTTGCTCTATTGATAAAACGATCAATTGTGATTTATGGTTTTTCATACTTCTCAAATCATTCCACTTGACTTTGATTTTTCCATTTTATGCACATGCATTGAAGATGTTGTTACCTATATGAATAAAGTTTTTTTGAGTTTTGAGTTATTAATTTTAGAGAGTTTAACTGCTATTTTTTAATTCAATTCAATTTCAAAAATTCTTTATTTTGTTTCACAAAAATTTATAGTGCTACATATCCAGTGTACATTGTTTCCTGGAATGTAACAAACTTACAACTAGACACGTTTTTACAACCATTATTTTTTAATTGGTATAGAAAAGAGTTGGTATCAGGTATGTAGCGACGAAACTTTTAAGTGTAGGTTGATATTTCGTAGAATTAATTACTTCTCCAAGTGATAGATGTGAATCCTCGGAGGTGGTTGAACTGAGCGGGTTGAATGAAAGATATATAGTCTAAGCTTTCTGTTTCAATAACGAATATGTAGAAAGGGAGTCAAAGTGTATAATGTACCGCAAAAGCTTTTGAGGCGACAGTTCAGTTACGTATTACTTACCTGTACAAAAATAAATGGCTTAATAAATTAAGTGAATACTTAGTTCTACGATTCATTAGTTTGTATCTAATGAAACAAAATAATAATGATACCTGTATGAATTATTTTGTATAAATACAAAATAATCTCCAGATTTTTCAATACAGAATAAATCAATATAAAACAGATGGTTTTGATTGTTACGTACACATGTCATTATTTGTATACAAATGTGTATTGTATTTCGAAATAATACTAATGCACAAATCCTTGATCTCCCAATCTAATTGGAGCTGTACTTGACCTATTATTTTAGGATAAACACAAATAACGAGGTGTGGTTAATCATCGTTTACAAAAGATCTGTACGTTAGACGTATTGAATGAAATTGAAGGTCTTCCGTGTACTCTTTTAAACGAAGAAATACATGAAGAACGACAAGTGCCGACCAGATATTTTTTGAATGCAAATAATCTCCCCAAACGAATTCCAGATTTAAACCTCAAAATACGATCTATTTTTACCAAGTTATTTGAATTTAGAATATATTTTGTATGTGTTTCAATATTTTAAAACAACCAACTTGAAGTTAGTGATAATGTGTAGAAACTCGGAACGAACAGTCTATACTCTGAAGTGCATGCAGCTCTTACAAACTAATTACCAATTCTCGTAAGTACTTATATTACACACTGGTTAACAGATACCAGCGTAAAATATAATCTGCAGTTAGCGTGAATCCAGAGTATGTAGAATATATAATAAGCTGTAATTTATACCTACATATATACTTTAGGTGATAATAATGGTGAAGATGTCTTGTCGGAAAGAACCGGCACAGAACTGTCCAG